AGGATTACAGTACAGTACTAGAATTTAACACGGATAAATGTCGAAGTCACAAATGAAAGCCTTAAACTAAGAATAATAGTATACCGTTAAGGTTTATTATAGGCTTTTGAAGAGTTTCTGGAACATAGTAATGAATTTATAATCGAGCCTTGAGAGAAACCGTGTTTCGCTTTACGAGAATTCCACAGAACAAAACACATCTAGGAACGGAATTAGTTTCTTGGTGTGGGAACCCACTGCATACGATACATTTCCTTTGAATTATTTTTTTATCTGTATTTTTTGGTTCTTATATTTTATCCGGATGAAGTACAGTATTACAATGCGTATTCATTGCAATTTGAAGTACAGTATTTTTAGTGTAACCTGAAAGTTTTTCATTGCTCTTATATAATATTTTACGGCGTTTTCTAATAGGTTTGACTTGCGTTGAAAACCTATAACATCTAAATTAATATTGTATAATCCAACTAACGTTGAGTTTGGATGACACCCGTTTAATTTCGAAAACGTGGACGTTCTTCGTTCAAATGAATAGTTATTTTACTCGATGACGTCCCTGGAGTATACCTGTATTTCAAAAGCTTCTGAAATCACAGTTCTGTATTTCACCTCCAAAGTAAAAAAAAAATATTAAAATTAGTCCTGCTTCGTTGATGAGGGGATTAATTATGAGGAAAGAAAATTAAAGTTGTATAACATTGAGGGATACAATTTTCTTTTCTAAAATTTAAATTATTGCAAACTGGTAGCTCAATTTGCAGAAGTTTTTGGAATGACAGATGGGATATAGGTAACTGTTTCATGTGCTGTAGTTCCCCCTCCCCTGTGAATACTGCTAAAAAATACTGGTATCAGCACACCCATGAGATATGGGTGTGACATGGGTACAGTAAAATGATGACCCTCATGCCAAAAGGCACCAGTGTCTCAAGTTTTTCACCCATTCTCAGCTCACCATGGATTATGGGTTGGACATAAGTGCTTTCATGCCTCTTTTTTAGGCCAGCAAGAAGTATGGCTGACTATTTGCTGGGTCAATATATTCCTTTTTTTCCAACAGACAAACGCTTGCGGTATTTCACAAAGCAGCCTTGATTGGAGTGTTGGCTGTTGCCAAGGACATCAGTTTCGCAATAGATATTGACACTCAGGTGTCGCCTTCAAAGCCCTTAGATTCCGACGACGATTGGTGTCGACGTTCGCGGGATTCCGAGCCGATGAACCAGCTGCGCTTGTGGCAAAAGGCGCTCGACATGCTGGAAGTCCTTTGTCGCAAAACTCTGGAGCGATATTCGAATAAAACATTTTTCTTGCAAGCCGTTAGGGTGAGTCAATGTGCGACTGCATTCTTGTCTATTCATTTGGTTGCCACTTTTCGAATTGCGTTCAAACGGGGATGAATTGCGCTGGAATCCGTTGGAAACACTCTGCTAGCGTCGTGCTCATTATCTTACGTTCGGCTTTTGATCGATTTTCAGCGCAGCATGAAATCACAGTATTTAATTAAATCCTAAGAATTGATTAGATTGGAAATATCGCACCGTGTTTCTGCCAATTGAACACGTAATCCAAAAATATTTCTTAGCGCTGTTGATGGGCAACTCTGTGAATACCTTGCATAATTACACGTGTGTATAGACCGAACCCAGCAATTGAAGAGCTATTTCATGAAAGAGAAAGAAGTGTTTGTTCTGCCAACGGTTTGGAAACATTTTTAGGGGACTTATATGTGCTAATTGTACACGAACAAAACTGACAAATTATCGTGTAGGAAAAATTCATTTGTATGTTCAGGGAATAGCTGTGAACAGGGTCTCTTTTTTGTAACATTTTTCCATCAAGAGAATTACTTCGATGTCTTTAGTTGGTTGAAATGGGTTATCGAGTTTACTGTAGTTTCACAATGGTTTTTGTCTCGTATTTTCTCAGTTCGGTGGCAGTTTCCTGACGGAACTGTCCCGCTCAGGATTCCCGGTCATGCAAGGATTATTTTCCTCGCACCGTGAAGAGGTTTTAACACTGATCTCCTCAATCCAGAAAAATCACACCCGCTTCTTTCAACACGTTTGTTCGCAAACAAAGGTACTGTGATGTGATTTGGTTGTGGTAATTTACTACGACGACAGTCTTGCGAGTCCCGAATATGGACTGTTTAATCATTTTCAACAGAAAGCGAAGGATGTTGGGATAGGGAAATTCATTCCCACGCTGAGGAAGAGTCTGGAAACTTTCTTGTTCCGGGTGAAGGGAATGCTGGTGGCCAATAACTGTGCCGCAGCTTTCATAATCGGAAATTTGAAGCACAAGGATGTTCACGGTCACGTCCTGGCATCACAGGTATTAATTTCGTTGCATATTTTCCGCAATGCTGTTCACGTCTCGCAAAATGTTCTCCTTTTTCGTGCTTCAAAAAATGAATACCTTTGCGTATTTTCAGGGCAATCTTATCCCTATGCGATGCTACCTTCCTAACGTGACCAATATATTTACTTGGGTACCACGCGCATTTTTCGATGTAAGGAAAAAGGTGGTGCGCGTCATATGAGGGTATAAATTATTTAAAATTTTAAGAAGTTTAGGTACGCATGATACTTGATTCTGATGGGAATTTTTCGACCAATTATGTCAGAATAATTGATTTTATGGAAACAATTGAAACCTGGTTGCTACTTTCAAAATATTGCAAGTTTTGAGTCACTAAAAATGAGTTGCGTTTCTTACTCGAGGGCGCGTGGGACTGGAGTAAATAGGTGTATTTTTTTTATTAAGATTCCACGTACATTCGGTTGAAATGCCAATTCAGTACTGTACGTGTAATTGCGAAGAACGACTTTAATTGTACTTCACAAATGGAGTTGATTTTAGAGAGCGTAATTTCTTGCAGATGGATTCCGAAGACGAAGAATCATGCGATGAAATGGTTGAAGAAGAGCCAGTGCAAGAAAATGAAGATGAGGAACCAATGGAATAACCTTCACTGCTACTTCGACCACTACTAACTTTATACACTAAAACGATAAAAGGCGGATGTACAGGAGAAAGAAAACTTCAAAATATTCGTTCCGAAAATAAAAAGTATAAGCGCGCACCTTGCTTTTTTTTATTCGAATTCAGCGCAGCTCCGACTGTTCGAGAAGTATAAATAGAGCGTGTAAATGAGTAAACGCGTTGAATTTTTGAATTATCAGCGTTCAAAAGGCGGAGTACTTCGCCCTCCTTGGCTTTCCGCGGTCCTGATGCTGCTGCTGGACGAATCTGTCGACGCTTTGAGTTGGTGGGTCGAAGTTTTCGGGAACCATAACGATTGCCGACGAATTTCTGCGAATATTAATAATACCGACGCAAATATGATCGGTAACATCGCCTGACCTCGGGAATGTTCGCTTCTTGTACAATCATCCGAGAGAACGATCCTCGTGGCGCAATATTTCACTCGAAGACTTCCTAACGAAATAATGAAGCACCGGTTCCTTCGTTTATTTTTATGTAAGTTCACGAAACTACAGTACAGTACATACAGTAGACGATTCAGCTCAGGGTTTTAGAGATGCAGATGAAGTGCCAATTATCGTAATGAACTATACTCGACGCAAGTAAAGAGTTCTTCGACCACGGTAGAGTAAAGAGCTATTAATATTAGCGCCCGATTCATTCAATATCTACATGATAACTCCTTAGAACCTTGTCATATGTATGTTGCAGTCAAACCTCTTACATAAATAAGTCTTACCTTTTGAATACATGTACAGTACAGTTAACACAGTAAGAAAGATATTTTGTTCAATAACAGATTTGTAGGCAAGGCGCCACGGAATGTTCCCAAGAATATGCGTTCACCTCGTTTGCTGCTTTGTATCGTCGTGCGGAGATCTTCTGCTACGTGAGCTGCCTCCGAACAAAAACTTAATGATCGAGAGGATGATGAGAACCGTTCCAGCAAGGAACGTGAACCCAAGGACTATTTGCGGGACATCAGGTATTTCTAGTACAGCTCGCGTAAGATTTTTCAATTCAATACAACGCGGCTGATTTCGGCAAATGAAGTACACGTAAGCCAAGTAAGCCCAAAGTGCAGCGGCGGATGTGATTAGAATCCACTTCGGAAGCCAGGAGGTAATACCGCAGGAGTCGCATAAAGAAAGATACGACGAACTCCTAAAGCAACGAGAAAGTGAGGAATGAAAATACCTGGATTCGGGCCTATCTTGAGCATACAGAACATAAAATTCGTATTTTATTATTACACGACACTCATTTCTCCATTAAATAAATACAGCCGACGAGTGACCAGCATAAGCAGCGATCTTATCTAGTTACTCGTTGGAAAATGAACCCTGAAAAGCAGTATAAATACTAACTTCCTCCATTCTCCGGCGAATACTTCACGAAATTAACGTGAGACGAAGCGAAAAGGTGAGTATTGTATATTGGATTTGGTCCCGAACTCCTTAAATACTGTACATGCACGCAGAATAGGACGGTTGACGCAGCAAAAGCAATAAAAATAAGGAATATTTCCAGGACTAGGATTTCCGGTTGTTCCATTTTTACGACGATTAGCTCTCAAATGAATCACACCAAAAATGACGCATTAGCTCTGAAGAAAGCATTTAAACGCGGCGACTCTGGATAAGGATGATTTTCCCTTCGTTTGAAAATGTAAAAAAAATACTTCGACATTACTTTGTGGATGTAATCGTCCAAAAATTCCTCGGACAAATTCACAAATGGACATTCCGCAATTCAACGATGATTCATGTCCTGCGGTATCTGAATCACCGAAGTCTTACACACTGTGGGTGCGGCAGAAAGCTGTGTTGCGCAGCACGAGGAGTGGCGATCTTGCGCATTAAACTATGGAGGTGGGTGACGTGAACCGCGAGTATCATACCTTATTCTCCCCTTGCGCTCCGAAATAGGCGCTGAACTTCGTTCCAGATTCTCAGTTTCATTAAGTGATGTTGGCTTAATGAGATCCGTGAGTTGTACCACATCGCTTTCAGTGTACTGCACGTTGTCATCAGCCATCACCATGGTGGCTTTCTCCTGTGGCGCGGAGCGTGTTGATCTGTGTCTGATGGAGCGGATCCCGAGGTGATGAATGTTCGAAATACTTTTCTCTGAGTTGGGATTGGTTGGGTTTGGTGTTAAATTTGCGCTGTTCATCTCATCTTGTTCTCCCGTTATGCCGAGTTCGTGAGTCAGCGGAATGGAAGAGCGGACTGCGGTAGTATTCGCGCTGTAAAGCACTAGATCTTTCAATAAAAGCGATCACATTGCTACAGTCCAAGATACGTAATATTGCATCCACCAATTTTACGGCATTTCCGGTTCAACGGAGGTGATGCATCAAGGCCAGCGGAGACCGCCGAAGCGATGAACATTAGGTGTCGTTGCATGCTTCTGGAATCCTGAAGATATTGATAGAAGCTTTCGAGCAGAATGGTAGGGACACCTAGATTACGTGTACAAAGCATGCAACGCGTTGCGCTTACGGAGTTACTCATCGATCCTAAGTTGCGCTGGCCTCACCTCACCCCGAATGAACAGGGCTGTATCTTACGCACACACCAGCATTCTACTGTACGTATGCAGTGCGTGTTAATTGTTTACATAATTTAGGAATTTAAGGTACTGTGCGTTATTGTACAGTAAATCATAAAATGCCTGACCGGCCGATGCGACTGCGTCTTTTCGAAGCTTCTGGCCAACGGATGCGTGATGCGGACTTGGGAAACGCCGCTCTCTTCGTGTAACTCTTCGGTGGCCACGAGTCCATATCGACTCGTTTATCGAGTTCATGCGATGGTCCGCTCAGTTCCTCTATAACTATAACATTTATTCATAACGTCAAGGGAATGCAATCAATGCTTTAAAGCAGCAAACTCGTCCCTGCTGTTACCCATACTTGACACCGCTATAATGACTAACGCGAATAAGTAAGTACTAAAGGTTATCGTGAACTTTCTAGATAGCCTTCTCCAAAGCCAAGTATATTGACATGTCACTTTTTCCTGTGAAGTGAATCGTTAAATGGGGCAATCCTCGTGAATGTTATTCTGATGGTTCGTGGATGCGCATGCTTGTACATTTAACTGCACATCGCGCAGGAATTATGCTTCATCTCTCGAAACTGCATTTTTTTGGACCCGATGAAGGTCCCTGGTTGCAAATGCGATGGAAATGCAGAGTGGTTTTGCTGGAATTTGGCACGGACTGGTTTTTACTAAAATTTTGTGTGATCGTCGTTAATCTCGAAATTTGTCGATCGCGGATCGAGTCCGCTGTTTATAGGTGAGATATGACCAGTGTTCGCGTTGACACGGATTTTGTGTTCTGCATATAGTGTACTTCTAAAATCGTTTTGAATTGAGTGAAGATTTTGGGGTACGCTGTGATTTGTGTTTCATCATGCACAGAATTGAAAGGTTAGCTTAGTAAGGCGGTGATACAGCTGGACATAATTGATTTCATCTTGCGGTTGACATAAGAGTCGGCTTATCTATAGTCTGAAATTCTGAAATACTCCTG